ACAGGAGGCCTTGAAGACGCCCAAGATGGCCTCCAAGACGGCCCTGGAGCATTCTAAGAGGGCCCCAAGTCGGCCCATGGAGGCCCCCCAAACGGCTTCCGACGGCGTCAGACGGACCAGGAGCCCACCAAGACGGCCAAACATGGCCCTAAGATGGCCCACGACGGCCCAAGAGGCCTCCAAGAGGGACTCCAGGAAGGCCCGAAAAGGCCACAATCATTGATTTCCTATGGGTTTTTGAAGGATTGTGGCATTTGCTTTTTTTCTGCCTTCCGACGGCCCGAGACGACCCAAGTGCCCCCAAAGATCGCCCAAGAGGCCCAAGATGACCTTCAAGATGCCCACGTGTTCCCCGAAGGCTTTCCAAACCGATTCGGGGAACACATGGTCCGATAGCTTGGCATGTCCGGCCTCAACGTTCGGCCACATAGGCGCTTCCAAAACGGCAGGGGGCGGCGGTGATTCGCCGTAGGCGTCTTCGATAACGCCAACGTCTCAATTTGCGCTGAGCTGATGATTCCTATCCGCCCCCGCATGATGTTCCCAGATGCGCCAAGGCAGCGCCGAGACGTATCCACGCGACTCTGATTATCCTACGATAGAGAGGGGTGCCGGCGGCAGGGTGTGAAGCCCTTACGGATCTCTCTCTCTCTCTCTCTCTCTCTCTCTCTCTCTATATATATATATTCACACACAGATATAGTGTCTTCTCTCTCTCTCTCTGCCTCTCGTTCTCTCTCTGTCTCTCTCTCTCTCTCTCTTTTTATCCCCCCTCTGTCCCTATCTCTCTCTCTCATATTTCATTGCTTGATTCCCTCCTCCAAATGCTCCGTCATGATCGGTCGATCAACGAAGTGGGAACACACCGAGGTAGATGGAGTCGTCAGGCACCCAGACACCAAAATCGAGCTAGACGGTGGTCGTCTCGCCACGCTATGTAGATGGCTGCCAAATGCCGCTGTATAGTCCGACATGGCCCACTCATTTTCCAGGCAGTCCCAGTCGGAACAGTATAGCTTCCACCATGCTTCCAACAAGTCCCAATATGGTCATGGTATGGCTCGAGGCGGCCACTCGAACTCCTGAGGATTCCCGCTAAGGTGCCCAAACAACATGACAGATTTTAAGAATACCCAGCTGTGTGGTCCTCGCCATTTCGCTTTAAAAAAGCTTGGCTCCAGAGGGCCTCAGAGAAAGGCTCCCAAAGAATCCCGAAGGCCTCCAGGAGCACCCGAATGACAGAGTCCCACGATGGCCCGACGAGGTGTCCTTCTTTGGCACCAAAGCGGTATAATATCATTCCAAAGCACCCCCTTTGTTATCAATCGCCTGAAAGCCGGCACCCGGACAACCTGGTATGCCCGTCATTCAACGTACTGCAAGGAGAGCTCCAGGAGCTGGAAACTGCCAGGGGTCTTCGCTGGTTGACCCGGTGAAAATCAGTCACGAAGGGGGGCGAGGACGAGTCCGCTCAATTCCACGGACCCTCCCGGGGTCGAAACTGACAAAGTGCTCAAGCCGCGTCCAGCCATGGCGACGACAGGGCCACTTTCTCTCCCCCTGTTCTGCTGGCCGAAACCAGTGCTAGGCCACCTCGGCCACCCAGCTGGCTCCAACCAGGAGGGCCTCAAGGGGGAGCCCCAATGTGGCTTCAAAAGGCAGCGCATGTCCAAATTGGCCATTGTTTGGAGACTGCTCCGGTTAGCCACAGCTTCGATTTGACAGATGCCCCCCCCGTCTCCGATTCTCTACTTAATATTCTCCTCCACTGCATCTCTTACGAAGTCTCGCCCGCGGATTGCTTCCAGGTGGGCCACTAGGGACACGAGGCGCGTCAAGAATTACAAAGTGTGCAGGGGCAGACTCCGACTGCTCCCAGGTCCGTGGCCATGACGGCAAGATCGTCAGAACAAACCAACGCTCAGGAACATTTCCAGGGGAGGTCCTCACAAGAACGGTTAACGGCTAACTGCATCCCAGCGATCAAACAATCCCCCCCGTAACCTCTGAGTCATGATGGTCCGTGGGATGCTTGTATTTGATAGGCAGGCGGAGCGGCGAGGCCGATCTTTATTACCACCAGTGGAAGAACAAATAATGCATACATTTATCTCATCATGACTTATCATCGACACTCTTGGTTATCATCACCACTCTCTCGTAGACCCCCATTATGGCACACCCCTCACACGGTTCGTGGCCCCATGTGGTGCTGTCACCGCTATATCGCGATGGACATAGGACTCCCCCCAAAAAAATTGACTGGGCCGAAACAGCCAAACCGCCGTTTATCGCCGTTATCGCCGAACGCGCCCCAGCTGAACTTGGTGATCGCCGTCATTGATTACCACCCCCAAAGAGCAGCCATGAATACTCTTACACGACGAGTAGAAAGCCACCAAGAAACCTTTAGTGACTTTACAATAGAGGTCCGAAACTTTGATGCTTCTTGAAATACCCTCCTCATCCTCCTCCTCTGGCAGGGAGGCCCCCAAGTGGCCAGTGCGTTATACCACCGTGGTTTGCAGGATTCGTGCTCACCCAACTCCTTCAAACAAGCTCCAGTGAAGGCCTCTCCAGATCAACTTGGAGGTAATTCAAGACCCATCCACACATCTCAACATGGCTATCTCCGGGAAACATATCATCCTCCTAGGACGCCGCGCATAAGTATCCCCATGGTGTGATTATCAACGGTGCAGGCCTACTAGGCCATAGCTTAAAAGCAAACACAACATATGTTACCGGACGCAGCCGGCGGGATGAGGCGGGTTGTCGTTCGACCGCGGATATAGATATATCAGCGCCGATGCTGAATTTAATTTCCCAAGAGTTGCATCCTAATCAATGGTGCCCCTGGCGTTGTCGAGCAATGTCTCAGGGCACTGCTGGATGACCAGAGGAACTGCCGAGAAAGGGAGCTCAAGCAGAACATGAAAGAAACCAAGCCTCGCGGAGTATCCAAAACAGGCGTCTACGAGGAGGAGAGAACCGACGAACACGACTCCGACGAGGAGGCTACCAGCGACGAGTAAGACTCCGACGAGACATACCCAGAGAACGCCCCAGAAAATTCGCAGACCCTGTCGGCGTGTGGGAGACGCTGTTCTATTTGACTCGACGTCGTGGTCGTCGTCATAGTCGTCGTCGTCCTTGTCGCCGTCGCAACTTTCCCTGTGCCCGTCGCCGCTCCCCCTCTTGCACAGAGTCCTCCTCCTCAAGCGAGCCAGCGGAAGCGAAACCAAGGCGAAATTGAGCAACGTCGTAGTTGAGTCGAAGGGAAGCCCCTTCCTTTGATCCCTTCTCCCCCGGGGAGGGTGGGGGTCCCAGGATCCTGGGGGTGGCCGGGGAGTCCTGGGTCGATATGCAATCCTTCCCCGGGAGGTCCCCAAGCGGCTGCTCAGACGCTCGAAAAGGCCTCCAAGAGCACACCATGAGGGTCCGAAGAGGCTAGATTTAATGATTTTCCAAGGGTTATTGGGAGACTCTGGCGTTCTCGCCTTGTCGGCGTCCCGGCGCCCCAAGAAGGCCCAAGATGCCACCAAGATCGGCACATGAGCCCCCCAAGAGGTTTCCAAGACGGCCCCATAACGACCCAAGAGGGCCCCAAGACGGCCCTAGAAGCCTCCCAGACGGCCCAAGAGGCCCCCGAAACGGCTCCAAGAGGGTGCCCACAGGGGAGCCCGAACGAATATCTCGAGCCCTCGGCCCCAAGAAGCTCCCAGGAAGCCGCAAAGAGGCCCCCACGAAACCCCAAGAGGCCCCCAAGTGGCCTCCAGAAGCCCGAAGGGACCCTCAAGAGGCTCCCAAGATGCCCCGAAGATGCTCCCAAGAGGCCCCCAAACTGCCCCACAGAGGCCTGCCAGCGCGCTCCGAAGAGGCCCCGCGAAGCATCCAAAAGGACTCTGCCCCACTTCAGCGTCGTCCTTGCCGCCGACGCCGCGGTCGTGGTCGTCGTCCCCCTTCAGGGTCGGCGGCACTGGCCTGAAGGCCTTTCCACTAGCGACAAGGTCAATGGTGTACGCGCTAACCCGGGTCAGCGCTAACCCCGCGGCTGCCGAGGCCACGTCGCGAACCCTCTGCCACACAGAAGCCCCCAAACCTGGGTCAGCGGAGGGCGGAGGGCGCCGGCTACACTCGAGGCCTCCCGCATCGCCGACGCATCGGCGATGCATCTCGATGCATCGGCTGCGTCGGCGTGCAGAAAATCGGGCTCGACACCGAGGCGCAACGTCGATGCATCGCCGATGCGGAGCGATCCCCCGACCCCATCTGCTTCGACCCGATCTGGGAGGCCTAGATGCACGTGGCTCCACAGAGCCCGACAAGGGAGATCAGAAGTGGCTGGCAGACCCCCTTTAGCGCCGACCCCTGCGACGTGCACCCCGAGGCGTCGCCGCCTCATCAACTCCGAGGCCGCCCCCCGATAGTGGTGCTTTCTGCACCGTCACACGGACGAAGCCCTCCGGTTAACAGCGCCAACGGGGAAGTGCGCATGGCATGGCGAGGAGAAGGCAGCCGACTGCAGCAGCCAACAGGGCATGCTCCTCCATGATCTCTTCTCTCTCCCCCCCCCCTCCCTTCCTGAGGGGAAACGTTAGGGGCGGACCGGCTGGGGATGGGAAACATCGACCTGGAATCGGCGGTACATCGCCGATAGATCACCGACAGGCCCCCGAAAGCGACTCCGCACGCTCCTGGACAGGGAAATCTTACTGTTATTCGCGATGAGGAGAATCGAGGATCGAGGAGGGCAGGCTCCTCGAACCTCTTCTCCCGAACACCCCCTTCCTCGACCCTCCGATCCTCCGCTCCCCCCTCCTCCTCGAAACTCAGTCTCCCCTCCCCCCCATCCTCTTCCAACCTCCTCCAGGAGGGGGGAGGGTTCGAGGGGGGGGGCAGGCTCGAAGGATCAGGGAGGTAGGAGGGGAGGGCACAAGTTCGAGGAAGAGGGCGGGGAGGGAGGAGGGGGAGTGTGCGGCCTGGCTGCGCGCGGCGTCCTCGCCCCGACCGCCACTCTGGAGACGTCGGCGTCTCTGCTGCTCTCCTTTGCGGTCGCTGTGGCTTCGTTTCCCCTCTCCTCGGAGATGCAATATTTCATGTGTATGTTTTCGCGTGTGCACGCCGGCCCCCGCTCGGGACCAACAGGCTGCGTGGCCTAGGGTTCCCTGTTCCCTGTGACAGCTCCAGCTCCCAAGTTCTACTTACAGACCGTCTCTTTCCCAGTTCTAATGCTGTAGCGACTGAATTCTCGCGCGAGGGGGGAGGCGCCCCCCAAACCACAACCCCTTACACATTGAAACGGCCTCGCGCTCCCTCGGCCGCGACCCCTCGCAATTCCACCACGTTCGCGAAAACCGCAGCCACAAACCCCTTTGTAAAATACCGCGTAGTCGCGCACCCGAGGCCACAACCCCTTGCAAAAGTACTGCGTGTTCGTGCTCCCGAGGCCACAACCCCTCACATGTACCACAAGTTTTTGCGTCACTGAGGCCACGACCCCACCCCACAGAGGCTGCCCAGAAGCGCCACCCCCTCTCCAGAGCAGAAAGCTGCCATTGTGTCACCTTCTGATTGGGATGTGTCTGCGGGGGGCGTGCTTCGGCTCCCCAGCCGTTTCCTGGGAATTCGGCCCTGGGCGCCAGGACATGCAAAATACTTCAGACTCGCGCCCCCGAGGCCACAATCCCTTGCAAGTTGCGACCAATGTGCGCCCCCGAGGTCACCACCCCATGTAAAGTATAATGACGTCGCGCTTCCGAAGACACACTTCATCATAAAACAAGTGGCACGCGTGCCTTGGCTGTTGCACAAAAGGGAGGAGGAAGGAGGAGGAACAGGAGGAAGAGGAGTCGGACTGAGGTCGATCGGTAAAAAAGGAGGAGGGGGAGGAGGAGGAGGAAAAGGAGGGGGTGAGAGAGGAGACGATAAATCGGAGAAGGGTCGGGGGGTGGGACGGCGTGGGTGGTGCGACGCCGAAATGAAGTGGTCGGGGCCGAGGGGGGCGGGGTAGAACCGGCACTGGACGGGGGGCGGTGCGACGCCGACATCAAGTGGTCGGGGCGGAGGGTGTCACGCTGGTGGTGGTGGTGGCTGGTGTGGGTGGGTGGGTGAGGGGCGGGAGGGGCGGGGCTGTGGGGGCGGTGCGACGCCGAAATAAAGTGGTCGGGGCGGAGGGTGGCGGGGTGCGCAGGGCACTGGGCAGCTGGGGAGGGGGGGAAGGGCCGGGGGGGCGGGGCGGTGGGGGCGGTGCGACGCCGAAATAAAGTGGTCGGGGCGGATGGGGTGCGGGGTGGCCAGGGCACTGGACGGGGGGCGGTATCACGTTGGTGGTGGTGGTGGTGGTGGTGGTGGTGGTGGTGGTGGTGGTGGTGGTGGTGGTGGTGGTGATGGTGATGGTGGTGGTGGTGGTGGTGGTTGGCGTATAACATGGTCGGGACGGAAGGGGGGCTGGGTGGAGAGAGCACTGAACGGGGGGCGTTGTCACGCAGGTGGTGGTGGTAGTTGGTCTGCGTTGGTGGGTGTAGCGACGGGGGGGCGGGGCGACGCCGGAATAAACTGGCGGGAGCTTGAGACACCCTGCGCAGGATAATAAAATGGTCTGGGCGGAGAGGGTCACGCGGGGGGAAGTGCGACGCCGAAATAAAGTGGTCGGGGCGGATGGGTGCGGGGTGGACAGGGCACTGGACGGGGAGCGGTGTCACGTTGGTGGTGGTGGTGGTGGTTGTGGTGGTGGTGGTGGCGGTGGTGGTGGTTGGCGTATAACATGGTCGGGACGGAAGGGGGCTGGGTGGAGAGAGCACTGGACGGGGGGCGTTGTCACGCTGGTGGTGGTTGTGGTTGGTGTGGGTGGGGGTTGGAGCGGCGGGGGGGGCGGGGCGGTGGGGGCGGTGCGCCGCCGAAATAAAGTGGTCGGAGCTCGAGACACCCTGTGCAAGATAATAAAATGGTCTGGGCGGAGGGGGTCACGCGGGGTGGGTGGGTGACGCCGGCATAAAATGGTCGGGGCGGGGGGGGGGGCAGAGGTCGGGGCGGAGAGGACAATGGGCTGCTTGGCAACGGTGAGGGCGGCGCGACGCCGAAATAGAGCGGTCGGGGCAAAGATGGTCGCGCTGGGGTTGTAGTGGGTGTGGGTGGGTGGGTGAGTGGGAGACAGACAGGGGCGCGGGGGCGGGACGGGATGGGGCGGTGCGACGCCGAAATAAAATGGTCGGGGCGGGGGAGGGCGGGGTGGAGAGGGCACTGGGCTGCTGGGGGGGAGGCGGTGGGAACGGCGGGACGGGGTCGGGGCGGAGGGGGGCGGGGTGAAGAGGGTACTGGGCGGGTGGGGAGGGGAGACGGTCGTGGGGTCGGGACGGTGGGGGCGGTGCGGCGCCGCAAAACAGTGGTCGGGGCGGAAGGGGTCGCGCTGGTGGTGGCGGCGGTGGTGGTGGTGGTTGGTGTGGGTGGGTGGGTGGGTGGAAGGGCAGTAGGGGCGGGGCGGCGGGGGCGGTGCGACGCCGAAATAAAGTGGTCGGGGCGGAGGGGGGCGGGGTAGAAACGGCACTGGACGTGGGGCGGTGCGACGCCGACATCAAGTGGTCGGGGCGGAAGGTGTCACGCTGGTGGTGGTGGTGGTTGGTGTGAGTGGGTGGGTGGAGGGGCGGGGGGGCGGGGCGGCGGGGGCGGTGCGATGCCGAAATAAAGTGGTCGGGGTGGAGAAGGGCTGGGTGCAGAGGGCACTGGGCGGCTGGGGAGGGGGGAAGGGTCGGGGGGACGGGACGGCGGGGACGGTGCGACTCCGAAACAAAGTGGTCGGGGCGGACGGGGTCGGGCGCACCAAGCGGGCAGGTGAACATGTGATTTACGCTGCAATGGAACGACTTGCCCTACATCGGACTGCATGGCGCTGCGGTGCATTGACGTTCCGTTGCAGTGCATGCGCGCTGCGTTGAATTGCGCTGCAGCAGCCCAGTGCAGAGCAGAGCAAATCAGAAAGCATCACATCGGCGCCATCATGTGTGATAGCTTGTCCTGTGTACTGAGCTTGGTTCTAGCTTCCCTCAGCGCTCAAGTCCTCTGCAGTCGCACATCAAAATGAAGGGGACGAAAAGTCTGACACTGTCCCTGAGTCCAATGGGGCTCGCAGTACGGATTCTGGTCGTAATCGTCGTCGCCCATCCCACGACCCACCCATCCGAACCCGTCCCGCGATGCACCCCGCAACCCACCCGCGATCCACGCGCGACACACGAACGACTTACCCGTTTTGGACGCCCGAGATGGGTGCGGAAGAAAAATGTGTGTACAATGCCAAAAAGCACATGCTGTCCACGACAGTAGCGGCCGCTGTTGGGCAAGCGGCCGCATGGATTCAGTGAACAACGTCCGCGGCGGCGCGGACAGCGAGTCTTATTCAAAACGAGCAGGAACTGCTGTTGGGCATCGTATGCGCTGTTTCCGTACCCATTCGGGTGTTGCTAGAGGTACCCCTGGCCCAAAGTACCACCAGGATTCTCGAGGTGGCACCCCTCACGAGGCCCCGAGGGCCCCAGGGGCTCAACAATGGAGCGAAAAGCTGGGGGCACCTTGGGCCAGGGGCACTTCGTCTAGCAAGACCCGACACATCTCGATCGACCCGACCCGCGACCAACCCTCGAACACACACACACGGGACCCACACCCGCGGCACGCAGACCCCCAGCGCCCACCGCGGTGCCCTGCCACAAGAGCACGCGCACCCGGCGAGGGGCTCTGTCTGCCGGCGGCCCGCCCAGGGGGGAGGCGAGGAGGGGGCGGGCCTCCCCAGAAGGAAGACTCGGAAGTCCTCGGGCCGTCTGAGAAGTGCTCCGAGCCTAGACAAGCGCGTTCCACCACCCGCCAATGGCCCGGATCCGCCGCGGAGATTGCTACGATCCTGCATCTCGAGGCAAGCATGTGATTCTCAGACCTTTGCGGGTAGGCACTTTGCGAGTAGTGGAACGCGCTCGGTGACTAAGGCTTCCCCGAAGACACAGAAAACTTCTCGGACGGTCGGAGGGCTTCTCAGAAGCCCCGCCGCCTTCTGAGAAAGTCTCCCTCTTCCCCCCCGCTCGCCACCGAGCCTGGAAGCACAACGAAACCTGGCGCCTGCGACAGGCCTCTGGACAGTTGTTTTTGAGCCTCGTGGCCCACGCCTGCCCCCCACGACCAACCCGCATCGAGCTGCAACTGCGCCTGCAGCGGGCCGCCTGTGTCGAAGACGGTCGGCGCCTATGGCGAGCTTGTTTGAGGGGCAACGATACTGTGGAGGCTTGTCCACAAGAAACCTTCCACACGAAACCCAAGCCTGAGACCCCAGGACGCCCATTGATTTTTGGCATGGCAACGTTGCTCTCTCCATTCCAAAACCATCGAACCTCAAGAAACCCAGGGCACCTTGGAGGCAAGTAGGGTGTTTCTTGGCATGGGTCTCCACTGTAGGGGGTGACTGGCATTGGGGGGAAACATCGACCTGGAACCGGCGATACATCGCCGATATACTGGCGACAGTCCCCCGATAGCAAAACCGTACCTTGCTGGTACTATCGGCGATCGATGGGCGATTAGGGGTCGATACATCTCTCCCATGCCTATCCCCCTCATCGTTGCCCCTGCTTTTTCACCACTGGCGCTCGACGACCGCCGCCCAAGCAAATCAGGCAGGGCGCACCGCCGTTCTCATCCACCATTGCGCGGCTTGGGTCTGGCATGTCTCCAGCTCGTCGTCAGCAAATCGATACTTCCGAAGAGGGTTCCCGACCAATTGTCGGTCCTGATTTTTGATCTCGCTAGCCTTGCCGTCGCATGTGGGCTGTCGATCTGTCCATGAGGCCCTCCGACTATGCTGACCCTAGACCCGTCGTCACTATTGTTGTGCAAGTGGCTCCCGCTCCAGACCCGACGTCTTCACAGCCATTTACATGTAGCATTACTTCCATGACAATCCGATCGGCACACGACTCAGAGCTACCGTCGCGATCACTTGCTCAACTCAAAAACGCAGAGTCTGCCTGCATGTGGCGATACTTTGCGTATCGCGTTTGTGCCGCACAGGAGACGGGCCCCACCACTTAAAAATACTGCAAGGTATCGATTGCCAGTGCAGCCCATCGCCCAGCCGCCCTCACTCTCCGTGGCGTGAGGAGGAAGAATTGAAAGAAGTTGCTGCATCATTAGTTAAGGCGATGTCCTTCGGCTGGTAGGTCCAGCCGCCGCCGCCGCCGCCGCCTTTGCCTCCCTTGCCGATGCTGCCCTTTTCCTGTGCGCGGGAGAGCGCCCCAGGCAGCCAAAGCCGGAAGGGGAGGCAGCAGCGGACCGCTCGGAGGGAGCAGCCACTGCACAAGTTGAAGGGGCCCTGGGACACACTAATAAAAAGACAAATCACAGGATTCCCCCATACATTCCAACATTTTCTGAGTTTTTGTCTTCCCCCACACTTCCCATATCTTCCCATGTTTTCTGTATTTTTCTGCCCCTCCTGATAAGTGTTAGCTGCCGGAGCTCCGCGCCGATTTCTTGGATCGGCGATGGACCCCCTCCATGGCGCGCGCAGCGCGCCAAAGGCGGCGCCGGATGCACCGCCAGGGAGGGGGCCAGCGCAGGTTCGAGAGGGAGATCCAGCGCCGATTGTTTCGGAACTCCGACAGTATGTATCGGTAGTTCTTCCTCGGCTGTAGGGAAGACAAGCAAGAGAAGGGGGAATATTGGCGATCCCGAATCGGTGCTGTGACTGTGCGTTGACCCTGGAATCCCCAAAAAACTCATCACCGCACGGTCCGTCATCGCAGCGTTTTGGGACCCCCGAGGGCAGAGTCGCCCGAGACGTCCTCGGATGGCGACCCGAGTCGAAAGACTGCGCGGCCACCCCGAATCCTCATTGTTTCACCACACGGTGCGGACAGCGAGCCCTTTGAGGACCCGCCCCGGGGAAAAAACACCCGAAATACCAGTACCGCTCCTCCCTCTAAGACCCCTTCCCGGTTGGGCGCGAATTGATGGCGGGGTGACAACACGGGATGGGGGAGAACAGTATCCTTTTCGGGCCCCTACGGTCCCCTTCTGGGCCCGATAGGGCCCCTGTATAGTCCCTCAAGCGCACCTTTTCGGCAGCCCTCGCTGCCCCCTCATGTATCGCCCCCCCATTACGAGTACTCCGAACCAGCCTCCCCGGTCAGACGAAGCCAGGACGAAGCTTGTTAAATTCGGGTGACGATAAATCGAGAATCTCTGAGATCCGGCCGCTCTGGAGCGTGTCTCGGGCCCCCGCGGCCTTCTCGGAGCGTTCCAGAACGCTATGAGAGCATCCCGGAACACTCTGGAACAGATTTGTCCTCGTCCTGGCCCAGCACTGGTCTGTGTACAATGGCACCCGGCGCACGTGCATTCCGCATCATTTTCTGCAGATGTTCTGGTCTTCGTCTCCATGCCAATGTGTACCGATACGCCGTCTATGCCGGCTTCTTCCTGTCTTCGTCCTTAGGTCGGGCATGTCCTCCTACAGGCGGATGTTGGAAGATGTTTCAAGTCAAGCAATATTAAGTCAGCCTGGCGAAGGACCCAACCATACGCAGTTGTGAGTACCTCAAATATGAATATCGTTTTCGGTGGCGCTACCTCTGGGTAGGGGAACCGCATGCGGACACCCCCACTGGGGCCTTCGGTGGAGCTCCCTATGGGGCCACGAAACGCTGCCCTGGGTGGGGGAACCGCATGCGGACACCCCCACTGGGGCCTTCTGTGGAGCTCCCTATGGGGCCACGAAACGCTGCCCTGGGTGGGGGAACCGCATGCGGACACCCCCACTGGGGCCTACGGTGGAGCTCCCTATGGGGCCATGAAACGCTGCCCTGGGTGAGGGAACTGCATGCGGACACCCCCACTGGGGCCTTCGGTGGAGCTCCCCATGGGGCCACGAAACGCTGCCATGGGTGGGGGAACCGCATGCGGACACCCCCACTGGGGCCTTCTGTGGAGCTCCCTATGGGGCCACGAAGCGCTGCCCTGGATGGGGGAACCGCATGCGGACACCCCCACTGGGGCCTACGGTGGAGCTCCCTATGGGGCCACGAAACGCTGCCCTGGGTGGGGGAACCGCATGCGGACACCCCCACTGGGGGCTTCGGTGGGGCTCCCTATGGGGCCACGAAAGTGGGGGAACCGCATGCGGACACCCCCACTGGGGCCTTCTGTGGAGCTCCCTATGGGGAAACGCTGCCCTGGGTGGGGGAACCGCATGCGGACACCCCCACTGGGGCCTTCGGTGGAGCTCCTATGGGGCCACGAAGCGCTGCCCTGGATGGGGGAACCGCATGCGGACACCCCCACTGGGGTTTTCTGTTGAGCTCCCTATGGGGCCACGAAACGCTGCCCTGGGTGGGGGAACCGCATGCGGACACCCCCACTGGGGCCTTCGGTGGAGCTCCCTATGGGGCTACGAAACGTGTGAGAGGTGTGCCGAGAGCAGAGGCAAGGAGGGGGAGGAGGGAGGAGGAGGAGGAGGAAGGAAGGAAAGAAGGAAGGAGGGACGCGGGGCACCGTCTCTTCAAACCGAGGACCCAACACCACAGGATGGTTGGGAAAAATATCGTACATGATAGAACAATCGTCCCCATACTACTTTTGACTATTTTCGGATATTCCTCCCGTAGAGGGACGTGCCCGACTTAATCCTAGCCCCGTCCAGTTGATCGTCCCTCCCAAAACGCGTCCTCTGACCTGGCCTGCCCAGACCTCTCCCCGGGAACGGAACGGCCTCGGCGCTCCGACGGAGAGGCCGGGCCCGCTCGGCATGCCGCGGGCTGGGTCCATCGGCCCAGACCGCCCTGCGCAGAGGCCTCCCCCACGATCAACAAAAAGAGGCGTCGCACGCGAGAAGACGAGAGCGACCGCTCGAGTGGGGGGGTCGACTGCAGAACTGATGCACCCCAGAATCTATAAAAACTCGTCGAATATACAAAAGATGCGTAGGGGATGTTCGTCGATCTACGAATTTTCTAAGCATCCTTCACGGCTTCGGCGAGAAATGTTGGGGTGAGTGGGGGATCGACTACAGAATTCGTTTACCCCCGAGGTGATACTCTCGTCGGCAATCTGCACAAAATACTCCAGCAATATTCGTCGACCTACGGACACTCTTACACAGTTCTCATGGATTCGGCGAGAAAATCAAGTTTGGGATAAATCAATTTTCTGTTGTCGATCCCCTGCTCGAGGACCTTCCGTCGCGGCTTGCGCGGGACGCCAGCGCGGCACGCCGCGCGGAGCAGAGGGCGCTCATGCGCGACCTGACGCGGGAAGCCTGCGCGCCAATGTTCGCACCGTCGACCCCGTTTCTTTTCCCTCGCTCAGATAAGATCCGATCGATTGGGCGGGGTGGGGGCCCTCAGAGAGCCCCTGAGCTCAGGATAGCCTCCGGCAGCCTCTAGCCGGGCATGGCTAAAGATAGCCTCCAAGAGGCCTCAAGAAAGCCTCCGATCGTGTCTTGGTGGGGGGTACTTTTTTAGTCAGCGGCCGCAGGCGAGAGCGCCAGCGGCGAGTCCAGTCAGAGCGGGCCGCGCAGAGACGAATTAACCTAAAGCGGTGGGCCGAAGCCTCACGCGGCACCTCGGCGGCCAGGCCGGCGAGTGGAAGGGGGCTGACGGCAACTGCTGGGAAACTGCACTGCCACGGTGCAATTGGTGGGGGATACGCGAAGCGTCAATAATTGGGCGGGGCCGGAGGATCGCGTCGCATCGCCGATGCATCGCCGATGCATCGGCGATGCATCGTCGGCGGCACACCTGCGACGTCTGCTAAGCTCGGGCTCCACATCGAGCCGCATCACTGATGCATCGGCGATGCGACGCGATCGTCCCCCTCTGACCTCATCTGACACGTCGGTCGGAAGAAGCAGGTAAAAACATGATGTAGGCAAGCGGATAAAGTAGATGTGGTTCATGCCCTCCAGGATGATAACAAAGCGCAGCAAAGGCACTTCGACTCTGGAAATAGGAAGGCGCTTGAAGTAGATTGGGCTCTGGGAATCTAGAAATACCTACTTTCAAAGACCGACGTGCATTCTGACCTTGGAGACCTAGGAATTCGACCCACGAGGGTTGAGGGGGGCAAATGTTCGGCCGGTTTGAGGACCTCGCGTCGGGCCTCTGGACGCCTCCCGACGCCTCCGCAAAAGGCCTCCGGGGACCTCCCGCTGGGGACGACCGAGGCCCTCTGGGGGTCGGGCCCCAGGGCGGGAGCAGCAGTTGCCGAGAAGGGGGGGGCACCTGGGTGCGGCAGCGCGCCTGTCACGTTGCCGAGAGCCGTGCCGCGGAGCACCCCGGTCTGCGCGCTTCGCGGGATCTGATTAGCGACGCGCGCACGAAGGGGGTAGGGGGGAGGGGGGAAGGCCTCTTAGGAGGCTGCCTCTTAGAAGGCGCCGGCCTTATACCTACAGGCAAGGCCCGCGCCTGCTAAGGAGCAAGGGTGCTTCGAGGAAGCATTCCCGCCTCCCCCTATACCCCCCCGTGCGGGCCGCCAATATGACGTCGCGCGCGCAGCCCGTGTCGCTGCATTCGGCGCTCTCTTGCTGGTTCTGGGCCTGGATTGCCCATCGGGGGGGCTCGCTCGACCCAGAGGCTGGCCTGGCCCCACCGCCCTGGGCGAGAGAAGGTGCTGTGGTCAGGCACCGTTGGCTGGCGTGCCGCGGCGGCGGCCCTGGCGACACGCGATGCCTTGCGAGTAGATAGCCTGTCGCTGCGCTCACCGGGCAGGGAAGCTCGGAAAGGCTCCTGCCTGGGGCCGTCCTGGCGCCTTCTGGAGGCCTTCGGGGAGCTCCCTGAGGCGAAATATTCAAAATTTCGCTGCGCTTCACGTCGCCCTCGGGAGGCCATCTTTGGGGCCGTCTTGAGGGCCTCGTGGGCCGTCTCGGGCGCCCCTGAGGGCGTCATGGAGCCCCTGCTTGGCCGTCCCGGGGCCTTCCTGGGAGCCGCTGGGCGCGTCCTGAGGCAGTGTCGAAGGCCTCGTGGGCCCCGAAAACACTGATACAAAACCATAGGAAAATCAGAAAATGTTGCCTCTCGGGGTCCTCGTCTGGGGCCTCGAGCGCCCACTGAAGCTGGCACTCCTGGCGCAGCCTGGAAGTCTTCTGAGGCCGTTCAGAGAGCATTTTCGGTGGTCTCGGGGCGTGCTAGACATTGTCTGGTAGACTGTCATACAAACTGGTGGGTGGTTTTCCGTGCGACCACGAGGCCACTTGGGGCCCACCGAGCGGGCCCGTGGAGC